TGGCTAACGAGACCCCCGATCTCGGAAATCCATCCAATCAAGCCCTTAAGACTAAACTTGTTTAAAAATCCAGGGCCTGCTTATTCGGGATAGCGGCGGCACGGAGGGCGGTCCCACCGGAGCACGCGATTGCCGCTCGTTTCATTTCACGCCGCTGGACGACCCGGCACGTTCGCTGCACTGCCGAGCAAGAAAGGTCAGATCGGTTGACCTGCGGGCCCGGCGAGATACGCGATATCTTCATTTGGTGATTCCCTGGACAGTATTGGGTTCGGAGCGCGGGCGAACCCGCTGCCCACCTCCCCCCACCGCGGCCGGCAGACGTGAGAAAATGGACCCTGAGTGGAAAACGGCCGACACCAGACCCGCCAATCGAGAAAAATAGAGAATCGTCTGGAGATAAAATAGGAGCCAGGCTGATTCTCAGCAGGTATGCTAAATTGCTTCTGCCTGTTTGTCCCAAGGCGTCTTCATTGGTGGCATCAGCGATCATTCAAAATGGCAGCGCCACACAATCGGTACCGTAAAAAATTGTAAAAGCTTAGAAAGGAGGGAAGAGGGCATGGGGCCAACGCAACAAGGCACAAGCTCTGCTTAGCAAGGGATCTGTCCTTGTTAATCCTTCTTTCAAAAGGTTCCGACAAGATTTATAAGAAAGAACAAGCATTATATGTTCATTGTTCACGGCCTCTGGCCAATTTTCGCTCATCCTCATGTAAAGTCATATGTATGCCATGGTTTGATGCTGCTAATGTCGCCCAAAATGCTGAAGCTATAAATGAAGTGCTCGAAAGCGCGGGAAAAAGAAAACAGCGGACATTTATATAACCAGTGGCTAATAATAGACAGCTATCTTAGGATTGCGATACGGCACACAAAACACAACTTTCTGTAAGGGTTTTGGTCATCCTTCCTGCTCCTTGGTGTGTCATCCCGACTTCCGTGCTTTTGATTACTGACGAATGATTAAACATTAAGTGAAGAGCGAAATTGCTTCTGTTTTAACCCACGCATCGCGTGCGTGCTGGCTGTCTTCCGCCCAGTAGTCACGTCACCAAATTAATGCCGTAGCATTCTTAATTAGTAATGTTTAATTAACGCAGCAGGCCAAACCTAATTCAGTCCCGTGCCTTCATCCAATTACGTTATGCCTTACGTGCGTCACTGTCCACGGCTCTGCAGGCATACCAGAACCTCGGGAAACAGGGCGTGCTGGGACCGATTGTGTGCTACCGTTCATACCGGATCACTTAGAGATATATGGGCTAAATAAGTCATTTCTTTAAAAGCTCTGCTTCACATCAACCTAAAAGATTTTATGTTCATTATGTTCCATTTTGTTTTGCCGGTGACTGGACAAACTGCATATCGATGCTGACAACCACAAGGCTAATGCATTAATCTCTCAGTGTTTGTACTCTACAAGTAATTCAATTAGGGAAATAAGGACCCGATGAACCCTGGACTATTTTAGGTTTCTGCCACAGCATAACACACAAACCGCATGCACTTGATCCGATATCAGCTTATGAAGGCAGTCTGTCTTTACTGTGGCGGGCAGTATTTCATTCCAGTTTCATAACGTTCAATGGTGGCTAATATTTCATCGTTAATCGTAAATCGAGTACGGGACTGATTGGAGTCGGCGTTCGGCTGGCCTGAGGAGGGCAGTGTGCCCCCGGCTTCCAACCTCAACAGACCGACCGATCGACACCCGTGTCGCGTGCGCACGCCACGTACCCCTCCCACGTGTTATAAATGCAGCAGGTGTGGCGTGCGGGGCCGAACATCAGCGACTCACGTGCGCGCGTCACGCACTCTGGCACGGAATGGGCGAGCCACCCTGATTTTCTTCTATCCCCACTCTTCCGCGGCACGGAACGGGCGAGCTATTCTGGCTGTCTGCTACCTCGCTACGCCCTTGTAGTACTGGGCAAACTAGCCACCTTGTCTGTCCTACTGCCTCTCCCGCCGCGCCGTGATTAAAGTGAGCGATCTCAGACCGGCCCTCAGACGAACCGTGCCTCGGGACCGGACGGTCGCGACGGGCTGGTCACCGCTGCACTGGACCAGACCAGGCGGCGCGACGGGCTGGTCACCGCTGCACTGGACCGGACCAGACGGCGCGGATTGGTCCGCGCTGGACCGGACCAGGCGGCGCGGCGGTCCGCGCTGGACCGGACCAGGCGGCGCGGCGGGCTGGTCACCGCTGTACTGGACCAGGCGGCGCGGCGGGCTGGTCACCGCTGCACTGGACCAGGCGGCGCGGCGGTCTGCTCCGATGGAAGTAATGGTGGGAAGTGAGGAAGCGGAACGGCCGACAGTGCGCCGCTCTCCGCCACCCTGTGTAAGAGCCGGTGGCAGGCTTTGTGGCCCGGTGAGTTATGGCCCCGGCCATGCTCAGACATTCCGACAGCGCTAAATGGACCCATTTTGTCGAATATTGATCGCTAGAGAGCCGGGAAACCCGGCAGTGCCGGCTTACCCGGCCGGCCGCCGGCTTCCACTCGCCGCAGCGATCAGCGGGGACAAGACACTTCGTCGGCGCATCCGGCAGAAATCAATAATTAATTTATTATAAACAAAAATAAGGTTATTTTGTTTTGCCTGCTTCCGGCTGCTCTTTGATGTCACTGCGAACACTTTATGAAAAGAAACAGTTCATATTCAAATAAGGAAAAGTAAGCTTGCATTACCCGTATATTCAATTTGCTCCCAGCGCCAGGAGACCCAAACCAATCGAAAGTTCACAAAAACAATCTGAATGCGAGCGTTGCGGTTGAGCAGTCTGGCCGTCAATCTGTACTATAACGGCAATTTTTTATAAGCGCTGGTGGTCTGGTGTCTCTTCTCGTGTTATTATTTCAGTTCCCTTTAGAGGCACCGATTACAGACCTGAGTTAGTTATGCTCGTGCCCAGCGAGTGAGCCTGCTCTGACACGGACCCCGATTCCACCCGGCTCGAGTGCCCATCAAGCGGTCCCACTGTCTGTTCCACCTCCTGGGAACGGTGAGTTCATGGAGGCATGCAGACAGGTCTGGCGTCAGCAATCCTTCAACGCGTCTGCATCATTGATCACCAGAGCCGCCACCAGGCCCCTCAGACACGTAGACAGACAAGCCTGATGCCTGCAGTCCTTCAGCGGATCTGCATCATTCAGCACCAGAGCCGCCACCAGGCACCCGACAACGGACTCGTTGACAGCCATGGGTCTCCACCTACTGGTATTATTCATTTTGCACACAACAGTGGCTGCGAATTCAGCAAACCTCATGCGCAAGTCAGCGAGACTGACACGCGGGAGGCCCCGAGCTTCCCGGTATAATTATGTAATTATTCGATCTGGCTTATCTTTCATCGTCATCCTGTGCCACAACAATTTTCAGTTTATTTGTTCTGCAATTTCAGAAACGGCGTAAAATCTAAAATAGGAACTGCAGGTCTCGTGTTAAATTTCCCTTTGAGTTGTGTATACCTACAATACATTTTAGGCACATCCATGCATTGCTCTCTTGATTTATTGGAATGGCCCATAATGTAATTTCTTATATTTTTTCCTCCCAAATTATAAACACATGGCATGGTCTCATTGTGTCTGTGTTTAAATAGTTTTACCAAAAAGTTGTAAAATGGTCGAAAGTATAAACAACTTAAAATATTTTCAAGGTTTGAATATAAGTTAATACAAGTTGTTTTCATATGAGCGAAACCACGACCATCATTAAATAAAAATACAAGTCACAATCTTGTTACAATACACAATACACTACACATGTCTTCATTCTTTTGTGGCTATGACTTTTCCAAGAAGAAAGCAATTTGGCTAATGGGACCCACCAGTTGGAAAAAGACGTGCGGATAAAAGCAGCTCTCGTAATAAAACACGCCGTTCTCCGCTTCCAGACACTCGTATCTCCGACAAAGCCGCTCCCGCGATCATTCGACGCTCGCTCACCCATTCAACAAAGCGAGTACACTGGAACACAATCTAGGCTACACATTGACATTGGCCAGGTGTGCAGTTTCCAGCGTATCGCGTTGTGCCGGTGCCGCGGGCTTGTCCGCCCTCGGCCGTGGCATTGATCCTAGCCTCACCTCGGGAAAGCGATGGTCGTGCCCGGAGCTCGGCAGGCGAGCACGTGCGGTCAGGGGTGGACTACGAGCGGCCCTATGCGTGGGTGGGCTGCGGTCACACTGAATGGACGCTAAACCTGCTTAGAGAACGACACGAAACACCCATAGCGCACAAGAAAGGAGAGTGGGCGTAGCTGATGAACGAGTGAAGCTGGCGGACGGAAGTGACGTGGAGGTATAGTCCCCGTTACTGCAGCTCGCAGGCTCACGAAATTACAGCGAGACTGCTACATAATGGCCTTAAGATTTGGGTCTGAGTGCCTGACAGTTGTTGACGGCTACTACTCTCCATGAACCGTGCTACTCTTATTCCTTTATTTAGTGCAGCGTGAACTGCAACACGAAACGAAATCACATACGCCTGTGTTGTTGTTTCGTGTTTTGTCTTTTTTGCAACACAGCAATGTGAACTGTGTAAAGCGCAGTTACCGACACTGTGGTGTTACCCTGCTTGTTTCCGAATTCTCCAGATCTTATGGTGGTGGAGCGAACTGCAAATAGCACTGCCTGTCGACTTTACTAACGTTCTGCATTTGTCCGTGTCGCTCGAGATCTGATTGTGGTGTTTGCCTTGATCATGATGTGAACCTACGCGAACCGGCCTCTGGCCCTTACCCTTCTTATTTATGCTGACCGAGTCTGTGTCTGTGCCACTAAGATCTAAGTAATTGTAGCGTTCGCCTCAATAGTGATGTGAACCTACGCGAACTGCCCTACCTGTCCTATCTATGCTGACTGAGTCTGTGATGGTCTCAGTCTCAGATCTAATTGTGGTGATGGCCTCGATCGTGGTGTGAACTGTGTTCTGTGTAGCCCTGGCCGCTATACCTACGGACCCTGATGACTGAGTCTGTGTCTCCCTCAGATCTGATAGTGGTGGTGGCGTCGATCGTGGTGCTCTCGGTGGGCTCCAACGGTCAGGTGTTCGCCACCTCCGCCATCCGCGGTATCCGCTTCCTGCAGATCCTGCGCATGCTGCACGTGGACCGGCAGGGCGGCACGTGGCGACTTCTCGGCTCCGTCGTGTTCATACACAGACAGGTGGGTCAGTCAGTCAGAGGTGGAGCCGTCATCCTTGGGTGGGGGGTAAGGGTACGAACCACTGTCTGAACAGGACTCGTATCGCCTTTCCCTTGAACCTTTCCGGTGGAACTCTGAATATATGTAGTGAAGAGGAAGACACATTTTTAAACTAGATTGTTTCTCTTATTTATGACCATCGAAGCATACCCCTTAGTTGTTCTACTATCGTCGAATGAATTATGGATACGTTGAACCACCTCCTGTTACCTAGCTTCCTCCCCCACCCTTCAGAGCACCGTGGGGTACCGTCATCCTGTCGATCCAGGTGCGGTCGATCCCACGGTCAGTTTCACGATCGGACCATTCGCGCCCCGTCACACGAACAGGAAGCACGTCATGTTGCACAGGTCAACGAGCGGCCTCAGGCGGACACTACAGTGTCGTGATCAATTCGAATGCCTACTACAAGGACACACCAAAGTCACGGTCAATACGCGACACATTGCCCCCAATGTTACCCTTGATTGCGACTGCTGATTTGTTCAAACTGCCAAAAAAAATCCTCATGTTCTTGAGTATGGTTAATGGATATGGTTAATAGATTGTTTAATGAAAATAATGTCCGACAATAACATCCATGGCATTGTATGCTGGGGCAACTGCTGGACACCTCCGGTTTCGTTTTATATCCTTCCTTATCATTAGATGCTTTATTAGCATAACGGTATAATAAACAAGGATGCACTTATAGCAACAGCAATGTAGTCTATTTAATAAAATAATATTCAAACATCCTTTTTCGAGACTAGCGACCACGTGTACCTAGCTCAGTATTGAAATGTCTCACGCAGGGCTCATTGACTTTATTCAGTCTGAACTCTGAACGTCTGAGCGAGCATCTAATATAATCATGTGATTTTACGACATCAGTGTTTGGGACTTTGCAGTTTTGGCTCGAAGCTAACTGCACTCACTTAATACTACATAAACGGACAAAGTTGATCTTGTTTAAAGTTCGAACAGACATTTACATAACAGCCGCCTATTTTCTATTGAATATTAAAGGTCATGCAAGAGCTAAAACGGCAGATGGGATGCCTGAGTGTCGTAGAGCGTTTGTACTGTGTTACATAACGGTTCACATTAGCGCCACTTGACTATCTGTGCATTACTGACAATCGCCGGCTTCTATTTGCTGCTGGTACGCCATTGATCTGCTGCAGTGCCAACCGGTGATAGTGATGTAATATTCAACGTGCATGCAGGACATCCATCAGCATCGAAACCTAATACACTTATGGCAACAGACATAACCGAAATGCAGCTTTCATAAATTTGTCCTGGCTGATAATAGTTTCCGCCTTTGTATTTCAGGAGCTCATCACCACTCTGTACATTGGCTTTTTGGGTCTCATCTTCTCATCGTACTTTATGTTTCTGGCGGAGAAGGATGCCGTGGACAAGGACGGAAAAATGTCTGACTTCAACAGCTACGCAGACGCCCTCTGGTGGGGAGTGGTAAGTAAACCATCGACCTCTTTTTCTGTTTTCATACATCAGAGACTTTCCGTTTTCACATTCTGCTTTGTTTTTGTTGTTGGGTCTGATCCCAGCCCATTTCACGGCGGAGCATTGGGTGGCTAGTTGATCCGTTTAATCCGCTCGGTACCTGATACATTGTAGTACTTGTTGTTTACTAGCACGGTTTCCACCTTTCGAATGAATTGCCGATTGTTTTGCCTGTTCAGCTTAAAAAAAAAAAATGGAGCTCCATAATAGGTGTGCCCAGCTGTATCCGGCTGGGTCCAACTTGGTCCGGCTGGGTCCAACTGTGCTCAGATATATCTGGGCGGGTCCAGATGTATCCGACTGGGTCCGACTGGGTCTGGCTGGGTCCGGCTGGCTATGGCTGGCTCCGGTTAACCCAGTTTGCACACAAACACACCCAAAGCGGTGTTCATTATCACTCAACTGACGCGTTGCGGCCGGTCGAGAATCGTACGTCCGCGGTTAGATGTTCTGAGAAACTGTCCACTGTTCAGCGGCGCCTGACCGCAGCGCAGTGAAGCCCAGCCGGTGCGTGCCAGCCGCAGAGTTATGGGACAATATCTCGCAGGGCAGTTCGTTCCTCGTTCTTATCGTGCAGTGTTTCTTGCCGGTGCCGTTCGGCCGACTGTGACAGACAGCCGCGGCTGCCGCGACGGCTGGTGCCTAAGGAATGTCTGGGGAGCGTGCGCTACGGCACGATCAAAGGGAATGCTGCGCCGGTCGGGCTCGCACTGCCGATGGCGGAACTGAGGTCATTACATTAGCCGCTTTACTTCGCATAGAGACGAGTCTACGATGAGGGTGTCCGGCATGCGTTTCGACCGCGTTTTTCTTTTTGTGTTCCGATCGCTCCCTAGAAGTACTCGGTCACGGTGTTTATCGGCGCGGTGCCTCAGCTAACCCCTGAGCTCTGCTAAGTGGTCCCAAGACCCCGACCCCTACACCACCATCACCGCTCCATCGCAGGTTAATTGGCCTAGCTGCTATCTGTAAACAACATAACAAGGTTTATCGATCGTAAACACAATTATAGTACCAACTAAAATAAACCATTTGCACGAGGCTCCACATTACACTTAAGTAGGGCAAATGAATGCATAAATCATCCAGGCGGCAAAATGGTTCGTAGTAGCTAATAGTACGATAAGAATGTCGTTAAATGCAGGCTCACGCATCACACGGCCCTATAGCGGCGGTGCCTCACGGGCAGTGCCATTCCAGCGCTGAGCGGTATTGATTGGCATATTGTCGCCGGAGCGGCACCACTCTACGGCCATTCGCGACGGCTCGTCACTCATCGGACGCTTAACGAGCTCTGTTCGGGGCAGGCAGGCGGTATACACTAAAGGTCCCCGGAATACCTGGCCGGCGGACGGGCAGGGGCGGACCCACAGGGCTAACCGAGGTGGCCAGGTGGACCATCGCTAGTTGTTGGATTGATTACTAAGCGCCACTTGACTGATCGCAATGATCGGTCGCCGGGGGAAAACGCTTCATGGTGCATACGGACGACTACTGGTCAGTTAGAGGACCCGATCGTTGGTCATCGTCTCACAGTTCCTGGCCTGATAACACTGTTCTAATTCGGAAGCTATCTGACAACTGTATTTGGGCTGTAGCCTCTCTCCTTTGAGTATCAATTGAAACTTGGTTTTGGGATTGGTATTGATTTCTTGTCATCTTTCCTTTCACATATCTTTTATGTCGCTGCTTCAATAACAGGTCACTCGTCCTTCTCACCCTCCTTAGCCTCAGCATTTTTCTACCAGGGGATACAGTGACCTGAAGGGCCCAGCTTGTTACGCTGGAGAGCAGAGCCAACGTCAGCGTTCCCGGGCGGTGTTTTTCGCCGCAGCAGATGTCTCCCACCTGTCATTGGCGACCCGTCCCGCGTCCGATGGCCACCAAAAACAGCGACTTTTAACGAGTGAACTGGGGCAATAGGCACTACTCCAGGCACGCAGTTAATGGCAAAATCGTCTACAACAGGAAACTGAGGAATAGCAAACAGCTTAGTGATCCAATCGAGAGAAACAAATATGACAGAGTGAAGAAAGAAGAGACTTGATATAATTCATCTTCGGACCTTTTGGTAGCGATGCCGTTAACCCAAAAGCAACAGTGGAACTGATAAGGCGACCGTGCCTCGAGCGGAGAGGCTTGTGACCGTCTCGTGTCGTCTGGTTTCGTCGCGTGCAGCCGCTCGCGTGCTCACTGCTGCATTCTCAGGGGGCGCACAGATCATGTGACGCATCACTTCTGACAGGGGGCGCAGCTCCGAGCCAAGGAATTTCAGTAATTAAGACGAGGTTCATAAGAAAATGGGTGACGCTGGCCATTAGGCGCACAGTGTGTGTCCTATACGACGTGTGTCTAGTCCTGCCGAAACGTGCGAACATGATGCCACTTTTCGTAGAACTGATGCAAGCAGACGAATTAGTAACTCGAAACCTTGCCTTCTTTTGCGGTAAGATTGGAGAGGTGATACAAGTGTTCATTTGTTAATTCAGTTTGAGCTGTTTTGCGGGGACGTACTATAGTTCGTTTTTTTTTCAAAAGGACTCTGGCTCCAAGTACGTTTTTCGTAAAAGCACGCGTTTTAGCGAGCAAAACGAGCAAAAACTGAACCTGAGAAACTCGAACGCCGCCTTATTTTAACATGTGAAGTATTCCCAATAATTTCCATACGTGCATTTTGGAACCAGGTATGAGAACAGTGGTGACGTCATGCTGTCGAACTTGTATTGCTATGTATGTAAAATGACGATAATAACTCAAGTTTATTGTACAAGACAAAGCTTTCGATACATAAAGTATCTTGATCACTGTCAATGAGATGTAGAATATTTGAAAATTTTCAAATATTCTACATCTCATTGACAGTGATCAAGATACTTTATGTATCGAAAGCTTTGTCTTGTACAATAAACTTGAGTTATTATCGTCATTTTACATCTGTCATGGATTCGTTACAATTGTATTGCTATGTAACGTATAACTATCATGGACGAAACCGCTTACTCGATTATAACCTCGGCAACAGTGAAAAACGAAGTTTTCCCAAAATTCGTCGAAACTTTGTCCCATCGTACGGACATTGGGTGCCTGCTGCCACCAGTGACGTCATCATAGTATGCTAATTTTTCAAGACACAATTTCCGGGTACTTACCGTGCACAAATTGAAATCGAATATTTTTTCGGTAAGAAATTCTTGGCCAGACGCTGAAGCTGCCAAAACTCACGTGAGAGCTTCGATAAGGAACTTGGAGCCAGCGTCCTTTTGAAAAAAAAAAACGAACTATAACGCCAACGAGGAACAGAAAGTGATAAAACCACCGAATGTGACGGAAGAGTTCCAGCCCAGGCAACGAGGCTCACACATGGATCAATATGCCCCTCCCCCGCAGGCGGCTGCTAAGCTATGGCGGCTGGCCTGATCAGTCGACGGCTGATCTTTGCCTACCAAACTCCTCCTCAGATCACCATGAAGCGCGTTATGAGTACATCGCTTTTTCTTGTGTCGGTGTGCCTCTATGCATTTCATCTCGAGAAGATGTGTATCTCTTTTCAATTCTCTTTTCATTCGAATAAAGTCATTTTATCGTTTCTGTCATTTTTCCGGTCCATGTTTTTCCGTCTGTCTCGACTATTTATTTCGCAGCTACTTTTCTGACAATAAAAACCTGCTTATTTTTGTTTGTTTTAGATAACAGTGACAACAATAGGGTACGGCGACACAGTGCCTAAGACGTGGCTGGGCAAAATGGTGGCATCCTGCTTCTCAGTGTTTGCCATCAGCTTCTTCGCACTACCAGCGGTAAGTAGAATGTTCGTATACTGTATGTGTGTTTGTATGTTTATGTTTGCATGCAATGTCAGCTACACTGCTTGGGTAAAGGGTATTCATGTTACGACGTGGGTTGCTCCGCCTGTGACGCACTGTACGGCGTAGGAAATGCGAACAACAAAGCGAACAAGGGATCAAAGTAGGAAACCGAACACTCACACGACTATATAGTGCTGACTCGTCATCACTATGTTCTTCAAAGTTCCTACTCGACTCTCATTTGCAGGTCACGTTCTAGAACTGTGATACTGACAACCATCATCGAATAAATCGGTCTAATATCATGCATGCCTACGTAGTAGTAGTAGTAGTAGTTTATTAAAGAGCCATCCACAAGACAAGTGGCTATTATGGCCTTCACGTCAATAAAATCGGATCATAACATGCAGGGTAAAATACACACTCACGATGTTACACAACCTAAAATATACATATAGCTCAGGATAAAAAAAAAACACCACCTGCACGGCATCATGATAAAAAAACGCGTTCATTACGTGTCTCGTCTCGAGAGTAGGTGGGCCTTCAGGGCTCGCCTGAACCGCGGACCTCGCTGGTTCCGCACCGACATGGGCAGATCGTTCATGAGGTGGGGCGAGCGGTATACAAACCGTCGCCGGCCCGCCTCCGAACGGATGGGTGGCACGTGCAGGAGATCGTCCTGTCTGGTGTGCCGGACATGGCCACGATGGTCCCGGTTGAGGCAGACCTGACGGGCAATGCATTCGGGCTGGCTAGAGGAGAGGACTTTGTCAAGGAGGCAGAGGGATTGGTATTGGAAGAGTTGAGACGAGTCGAGCCACCCCAGCCTGTCTCGCACAGCTGACACGCGGTCAAACTTTCGTTTTCCCGCGATTACGCGAGCCGCAAAGTTGAGCAGCTTCTGGATGGTTGCGAGGTTGCCAGCGCTGCCGCTGCCGTAGACAGAGAGGCAATAGCGGATGTGCGAGACGGCCAGGGCGGTGACTATCTCGGGAAGGGTGTCAGGAGGAAGGAAGTGGCGGAGGTGGGATAGTGTTGCGAGGATACCGCAGCATCTACGCGAGACAGCCCTCACGTGCGCGTCCCATGACAGGTGCTGGTCGAAGACCACACCAAGATTTTTGACCTCAGTGCTGGGCGTCAGGCACGTGTCCTGGTATCTGATTTTGATCGTCGGGAGGTTGCGCAAATTTTGTCTAGCACCAAAAGTCATGAGTTCGAATTTGTTTACGTTAACCTTTAAGCCGTTCGCAAGGAAGTAGTTGCCAAGAGAGGAAAGGGTGCTTTCCATGCGCGATGCAAGCGCTGGAAGAGCAGATTTAGGGCCGGAAACCAAGACCTGGGTGTCGTCGGCGTACTGGATAACCAGTCCATCGGAGACGTACAAGCTCAGGTCGTTGGCAAACGCGCAGAAGAGGACAGGGCCGAGGCTAGAACCTTGAAAAACGCCCTGGTTGATGGGTAGAGGAGGTGAGATTTTGACGCGGCCATCAGAGGAAGTGAGGCTTACACTCTGCGAATGACCGGAGAGATAATTTTGAAACCAGGATGTGTCGACGCCCAGCAGCTGGAGTTTTTCGAGCAATTTAGCATGACTGATAACATCGAAACACTTGCTAAGGTCAATGAGACAAAGAATGGAGAGAAGCCCAGAATCTGTAGCAGCAAGGATGCTGTCGGTGACGCACGTGAGGGCGGTCTCGGTAGAGTGCTGCGGACGGAAGCCATGTTGGGTTGGGGAGAGGAGATGGTTGGAGGAAAGGTAGTAGTAGAGTTGGCGCTGAACTGCCCGCTCCACTATTTTGGCAAGGACTGGGATGATAGAAATAGGACGGTAGTTGGAAGGATCGGCAGGATCACCGGACTTGTGGATGGGATGGACGAGGGAATGCTTCCAGGATTCCGGGAAGATATTGGAGATGAGGGAGAGGTTGACGATATGGAGGAGGACGTGACTAATGGCGTTGAAGGATAGCTTGATGGTTCGAATGCAAAGTCCGTCAGATCCGCGGGACGGGGAGTTGCTCATGGAGCTGATGATGGCATGTAGGGTGCTGAGCGTGATCGGATGTAGCCGGAAGGCGCAGGCTCCCACCCTGGTCAGTCGCGGGGGAAGTGAGGGGGGCGGACCCTGCGCGGCGAGCTCGGCGGCAACGCGTGGGCCGACATGGACAAAAAATTAGTTCATCTGTTCGGCGGAGATGGTAGGTGGTATCGTGCACGCTGTCTTTTTACTGCCCAAGGTGTCAGCCGCGCAGCGCCAGACAGACCCACGTCCCTGCTGAGACACGCGGGGACGTGGGGGTTTCAACTACTATGTAGTTGAAACTTGAAACAAATAACGCAGTCGTTTCCACCGTTCGTATTCTGACCATATCGGTCTGTCGCCACAGGGTATCCTGGGCTCGGGGTTCGCGCTCAAGGTGCAGCAGAAGCAGCGGCAGAAGCACTTCAACCGGCAGATCCCGGCGGCGGCTCAGCTGATCCAGTGTCTGTGGCGCTGCTACGCGGCCGACCGCGAGTTCTTCGCCACCTGGAGGATCCACCTAAAGGAGAGCCCCGCTGTGGCAGTGTCCACACTCGGCAAGGTCAACGCCCTGGTCAGTGGCAATGTCCCACCACTACCAATTTCAATGCACCTGCACCGTTCGACTTAATACCCTCCCGCGCTCGACCTCAATACAATACACTTCCCGTCCGAATTCAAAACCCCTCCCGTCCGACTTCAGTACCCCTCTTATCCGACTTCAATACGGCTCCCGTCCAGCTTCAATACTCCTCCCGCTCCCTTTTAAAACTTTCTGCTGTAATTCTCCCGATCCGACAGCGACCCTCTCAACTCAGCCCCTCTCTGGTGAACCGCCATGCTCCCCTCCCGCGCGCTGTCCCGCGACACTCTCCTAAACACTCGCCTCCGGGAGTGTTTGTACACCTTTTGTCGGATATTTATCCCGGAGAGCGCGCAGTAGCGAGCGAACATCATCAGATCACCGATATCCCACACCCCTCGAACTGTGACGTCAGCATGTTTACGTCACTCAGTCAGCCGGCGCCAGCCAGGCGTGACTCATCACATCAGAGAAGTTGAATTTATTGAAAATGAATTAAAAACAATCAAATTGATATGTAATCGATTAACCCGGTTATAACCACACGTTTTAGATAAGGCCTGAAACGCATTTTGCTTAGTAATGAAATTATCACATTCTAAGGAGCACAAACCTTGTCCAAACATCCCACAGAGGACAGCTGAGCTGTGGAATTGCGAAGCCCAGATGGAGCTTGTCTGGGCTCTTGTTTTGGCTGGCATTGTTTCCAGAGACGCGAGCGAGTGGCGCTACTCAACGGGCCCCGTGTTGGTCGCATTCATATTTGTATCACAAAGGGAGGAGAGTCCAATCTTGATGTTTGGAGCACGAGTTTGTTCTGTGTATTATTTTGGAGAAATAGAAACAGGGTTCTCATTTTGATGCCTTGGTTTTCATTCGTTTTGTTATTCCGATTGAAATAACAGTGTCTTTGGGCGGAGAGGGGCTTAGGTCACGATAGTTCAGGTGATTTGCGATATATCTCAGCTGATCGCCAGGTTTACATGCCCCGGCGTATCTCCAAAATAAGCGTAAGCCCTAGCGAAAGCACAACGTCCAGTCACAGTGTTTCTCTTTTCAGTCCCGGATTCATGACAATGCATGGCATATTGTATTGTACTCATAGTTCAGTCGCCGGTCTGTTATTTTATGATATATATTTTCAATTATCAACGAAGACACATTTTCGATCAAAGCGGAACGATTCGGGAGTGGGAGAGGGGCGTTTGATGTCATTCTTCGTAGAACTAAGGAACATTTTGTAAGTGCGGCCTTGCGAGTTCAAAGGAAAACGCAGTGCCGGCAAGGGTTTCCCCTCCTGCCTCCATTCCTCCACCTATGTAATTACGAATACTTTCTTCCACTCAAACACCTAAACACCTCATGTATCTACGACAAGTTTTATTATTACAGGTGGCGAAAAAGGCCAGTGTTCTGAAGCGACGCAAGTCGCGGACCCAGATCGAGAAGGGCTGTCTGGAGGTGGGTCGAAGAGACAGCGACAACGACGTAGTCTTCTACGACGAAGAGGCCCGACAAACTGGTAAGCGCAGAATTTTACAATTACTTATAAATAACCCCCGTTTAGAAATAGCAGTGGGCAGTGTGCAATGCAAACAGCCTAAGATTGTGACGGCAATGAAATATGGCATACGGCAATGAAACATTAAAATAGATGCATTCGTGAAATCGAGGTCTAAGCCAAAAGTTTGATTAACTAACACAGATGAGTTAGGTACGTGACACTGTCCAGAATCGAAAGCATAGTGTTTTGAAGCACGTGTAATCACATTATTCCTCTCATTTAGCGATACAATTCACATAAAGATGTGATAGTACCTTCATGCGAAGCCCGTTAATAAGGACTGGGGAACAATATTGCTAACCTATTATCACGATTTTTACCATCGTCATAAATGAGGAAAGTAGTTTTCTTTCTATAATAGGCAATCCTACTAAAAGGTTAATGATGTTTGCCAATAAACAGTGACTGCATGAAAAAAGCTGATGCCCGCGTCGTGGCTTTTATTGACAACGTCGCTCCTCCACGTCTGAGAAATCACTCTGTATGCAGGCGAGCCTTGTCGGCTGCCGAGTTACTTTGCCTTGCAAATCGGACGCATAATACTCGTGGTGGATGAAAGCATCGCCAAGTTTGTCTAATGCATTCATTGAAGGCACAGCCCTGGGGCTCAGGAGCGGCAACTCCTCTCTTGGGACGATTGTTCAGACTAATGTAGGCCAAACATAAATGTACGAGTGACCTTTGGGATTCTTGACAGCATCGCGACTGCGTCCCACAAATAAGGCATTTCGGTACCGTGAACTGAAGTGCCAAAATATGTATACGAGGGACGGATCCATCCGACTCTGGGAATGTCGATTACCCACCGGAAGATGTAGATTAGCTGTAGAGTGGACAATGACAGAGCGAACCCTGATGGTCAATAGCGCGTTTGGTGGGGTGTGGAGTCCGGGCCAGCTGGAATATGAAATGACACGAGAGGATCCTCGCCCCCTGTGACCTGTCACGGGGGCAAAAGTTGCAATAGGTATTATCTACAATTTATGCATTAGTCGTACCAAATTTGACTGCATGAAAAATGATCTCATGCCATCGATGCGGGTGTGTATATTTCTGTCGCCCCCGTATGGATTGAACGTCCGATCTTCATAATGTTGACGAATCATCTGTCACCTCTTTCTAAGACTATAGTGGACCGAGAAGTCTATTGTCGGCGCCGGCTTCAGCCGGGCCGTCCCGCCCTGCCATCGCCAGTGCTCTGTTTGGGCTCGCCTCAACAGATCGACTACACAAACAGTCAGCGTCAGCATACTAATATCGCGCCGGGAGTGCCGCGCCGGGGGCCAATCCGGGTCCGGCCGGGGGCCAATCCAGGACGGGAGTTCGGGACGGGGCCAAACCGGGTCCGGTCGGGACGGGGGCCAATCCGGGTCGGGACGGGGGCCAATCCGGGTCGGGACGGGGGCCGATCCGGGACGGACCGTGGGCAGATATGGACCGGACCGTGGGACGATATGGGTTGGAGCGGGGCCAATCCGGGTCGGAACAGGGGACGATACGGACCGGACCGTGGGACGATACGGGTTGAACTGAGCGTCAATCCGGGACGGACCGTGTGCCGATATGGACCGGACCGTGGGACGATATGGGTTGGAGCGGGGCCAATCCGGGTCGGAACAGGGGACGATACGGACCGGACCGTGGGACAATACGGGTTGAACTGAGCGCCAATCCGGGACGGATCGTGAGACGATACGGGACGGACCGTGGGCCGATACGGGTCCCGATCCGGGACGGATTGTGGGCCGATACGGGTCGGAGTGGAGACCAATCCGCGTCCGGCCGAGGCCCGATCCGAGACGGACCTTGGGCCGACACGGATTGGACTGAGGGCCGATACGGGTAGGACTGTGGGACGATGCGGGCCGGACCGGGGCCAATCCGGGTCGGGACGGGGCCGATCGGGGCCGGACGGGTCGTGAGACGATACGGGTTGGGCCGTGGGCCGATACGGACCGGACCGTGTGACGATACGGGTTGAACTGAGCACCAATCCGGGTCGGGACGGGGGCCAATTCGGGCCGGGCCGGACTGTGACGACCCAGGACGGACTGTGGGACGATACGGGACGGACTGTGGGACGATACGGACCGGACCGTGGACCGTTGGACTGAGGACCGATCCGAGAAGAGCAGAGGGCCAATCCAGGCGAACGCTCGATTTCACTGAAAACAGATTGATTCTGTGGATAATGGAACTTGACACTACTGAAATTGCTTGAAGAAGTGTGAATTACTATCTGGTAAAGTATGACATATTTCAATCAACTTGGCGACTATTCGCACTAAACATTTTCTCTGCATTGTTGATTTTTTGCCTAGTTCTCGAGACGGAATGGAAATAAAACGCTTATATAAACAAAATTTTCCTTATTTATCGAGTTGAGTGCTTGGTTGAGTGTTGACCCTTGTTCTCAATTGGAATCGGGATCGGGTTGAGTTGAAGCGGCGTGTGGTCGGAACCGACTCAGCCAGGCGTAATGAAACACGCACGCTGACCGAATCGGTCCAGCGCTGGGTCGGCTCAGCTCAGCGGAGACCGTAGGTCGGTGCCTGCCTGTTGCCGCTGTATCGCCGGCCCAGGTGCCCGGGTCGAACGGAGGGCGCCAGCCGCCGAGTGGCTGGCTCGAGGCGCCACAATAAGCCCTCACACGGTACTGCAGCGGCTCGTTAGTTCGCACGAGTTGCTACCCAATCGGATGAGCCGCAGCCATAACAGCAGCCTCTCTTGAGAGTAGCAGATGTAGGAGATCTAAGGAATCGATAAACGACAGCAGAATAGCGCGGATCAGGCGCGGCACGGCGGCTGTGCGGGATGTTTTCGAGCTGCAGCCGGAGAGAAAAAGACGCAACGCGCCGGAAGAAGGTCCCCAGGGCGCTATTTCTATTCAACATTCCAGGAACGAACCGGGATCTCGGAAAATATATCACACAACTTCGTGCTTGTAGCCAGCATTCATTGGGACATTTTTCGGAAATATTTATTTAAAGATATTTTAACACAAGCTCCTTGCACGACAAAATGGGCACTTAGCCAAGGCATTGTTATATCATTGTACAAAATGTCAGTGCTTAGTGGGTATCGGGAATTTTGGTACGCAGCTACCTACATGTGTCGTTTATTTACAAGGCTTCGCATGTTTTTTTTTTCAGAAGTACCGTGGGAGGTTGAAGTGTGTGTTGACCATGGTGTTGAGTGTGGTACTCTACATGCATTGACTGAGGCACTCTGCGTGTCCTGCAGGTGCGGCGGGGTCGGGCACTCCCAACAAGTGCCGCCGCGAGGGCCGGAGCCCGGCACTCCAAAGCCAGACGAGCTCCAACACAGAGGTGGCCTCGGACGAGGTGGACATCGACATAGAGGAGCCGCAGGGCCTCACCAGGTCAGTGGGACGACTGGGGGTCTCACAAGGTCAGTGGACGGCTAAGGCTATATTTACCCGGCCTAGCCTAAAATGCTGTTTTGTGTTACATCTAACCCGGGTATTCGTTCACGTCCCACAGTGGCCAGCAATCAGGGTTGTATACCAATCAAGTCGATTGAATTGATTGATTTGATTCAACGCGTATTTTGAGTTGATTGGATTGAGTCGATTGACTTTTCGAGATGACTGGTTGACTGACTCGTTTGACTTTAGCGACTGGTTGACTGATTTGATTCCCGAAAATTAGAGCGACTCGTATGATTGAGTCGATTGAATGGAAAGTTCAAATAAGTTTTAGTTGACGAAAAATAATGACACCAATTGATGACATCAAAGATCACAAAACCACATTGAAAACTGCTTGTCATCACAACTGCATTATGGGGTAGATGGCCAAATAAAGAACAGGGTCTAAACATGAACAGCCAACTTTGACTTTCAACTGCAATAACTGCTCCAATCCTGGTGATAGAACCTGGCGATGCACCTACCTACCTTTCTGCACTCAGCAGGAAACGTTTTTCTTTATCCAGATGATAAAGTGCAAGGCCCTATATACTAATAAAGTGTGATTAATTAATAATTCACATCTCCACATCTCCTCAGAAATAACCCACTGAACTCTATCTGAAACCCCTACAAAAATAACTGAAACAAAAGCGCCGTTTTCGTCTCGCTAAATTTGCTGCATTGTTTAATTTGCAGCAGAACGTCTGTTGATCCTTTTCTCCTGAGAGCCTAAGCATAACATATTTAATATATTTCATATTCCTTATAATATTTTACCGGTTTTATTTCAAATGAAATTAAAATTAAAACCAAATTGGTGTTGTACAACCGATTTATTTTATGATAATCTACCATACTTCATGATTATCAATGACGTCATCTTACCAAAAAATCAAAAGACGTAGAATAAGCATTTATAAAAGCTTAGCATACTTGTTGGCAAAACGTTTTCTTTGTTTTTTTTCGCAGTCGCACCGTGCCTTTTTCGCTTAATTTTCCTTGTTCCTTCTTCCTTTCTCCTTAACTTATCCTGTGTTTCCAGAGTCCCTGTCCTCTCCATTTCCTTTTAAATATATTTTTAATCCTCATCCCTATCCCCCAGTCCTAACAGTTTCAAATTGTATTGCAATAAAATGTTTTGAATTCTTCACATATAACCAATCTACCTTCGTTAGTACTGTTGGTAGCCAGTGACACATCTAGGCAGGTAAGTAGGTACCTACCTGCTTTCCTGCTGTCTTCATAAAGCATACCTAATGAAGTTGTCAAATTTGGAGCACATTTTCAACACTTTCGTATGGTGTCAGTGTGGCATGAAACCTAGCTAGGTTCATTATGTTTAGGGTTCATTTCAGAAGAGCTCCGCATAACTCACATAAGAGACAGACAGGGGCTTTACATGGGGTAGATGGCCTGATGACTTAGCTGGAATATGGCCAAAATTAAATTGACAACTTTTAGGTGAAAGGTGGTGATTTGGGTTAAGGGGCGAGTCAACTACTGGGTTATTTTGCACCCATCAAATGAAACTTCTGCTCCAATTCTACCCATTGAACCTCAATATCATGATCCACCTGTCCATCACTAGGTATCCTTCCTTATTACATAGAATCTTTGAATGGCATGGCAATTTATAATTTTAAATGACAATATTTTGTTTCTTCTGTAGGTAGGTGGGTAGGTAGGTACACCAGACTGCTATGGACGCTTTTCCAAGTTGGTGGGGCAAAAAACCTAATGTATGTCTTGGTTTGAGTCGTTTGATTGAGTTGATTGATTCCTTTCATTGTCGCGTTTGAGTCGATTGAATCAATTCCCGAAAACTGCTCTGACTTGATTGATTTGATTGGTTTCCCAAATTTGTCGTGATTGAATTGATTGCTATTGATTGAGTCGTATACAACCCTGCCAGCAATCCATCCATGCTCTTGGATTAGAAAATAGTCTAGCCAATATGTTCACGTTTTTATCCTGAGAGAAGTCGTTGAACTTCGACCGGATTCGGGATCAGCTGCAGCGCTCGCCGCTCTGGTGCGCTGAGCGCGCGAGGAAGCGGCGATGCTGTCCCGCAGCGCAGCCGAGTGTTGCGGGACAGACTACCCTGCAGGCAGTCGGCAAAACCATAGCCAGCCAGCCAGGCGCCTCAGTCGTGAGGCCCCGCGGTGTCTTATCAAAATACACCGAATAAATTTCAAAGTCATATCGGACTCAAACGGCACTTGATGGACAACGAGAGCTGTTTTCTAAATGCTAATCCTCTATAAGACAGACTGCAAATCGACTGCCCAACATCTGGGCAAATGCGATGTGAACACTGTGTTTTTATTACAGACTGCAAACCTTAGTTTTATTTTTATCTTGAAATAACAAACATCCTCGCTGTCGCTGCCAAATATTTCATCCTAAGACTTAAATGATCTTTCGTAAAAGTCAAACAAGACTGTTACAAGCATTGAACAAGAAAGAATGCTATCGGAACTATTTTAAAATGAGATGATCCATCGCAACATTTTACTTTCCAAAAACTTCCAAGCAGTCCCAGGTTAGTAAGTTCTTTCATGAATCATAAGGCGTTATAAGAAGCACAAGGCAGAAGTATAAATAAAAAGTCATAAATAAAATTTAGAACGGATCCATTTATAACCTATCAATAGAAACCAAAGAACATTTCGTAATGAATACAACTGGTGAAGCCCAACATCTGGGCAAATGCGATGTGAACACTGTGTTTTTATTACAGTCTGACGGAAGCGCACAAAAACGCCATCCGAGCAATACGAAAGATCAAATATTTCGTGGCGCGCCGGAAGTTCCAGCAGGCGCGGAAGCCGTACGACGTTCGTGACGTCATAGAACAGTACAGCCAGGGCCATCTCAACATGATGGTTCGCATCAAGGTGAGCTCATCAGGTGATGAGGTGGAACAAATGACCGGTATTTCCGCCAGGTCAACTGACATTTCGGCTGTTTTACAGAGCGAACACGAACGAACGATGGGCTGGTGAGATAAACGACGCAGCGCAATGACAAAGAGGTGACAGGTGAAATTGACATCGCGACAGGGTCAGCAGTGCGTAAAGACGATCCTTTCTGCAAGGTGCTGGCTGATTTTTGCTCACAATCAGCCGGCCATCGAAAATGCATTGAGATTCATCATTCACAATGAAGCAATTAATTTGCATATTTTGTAAGCTTAACGACTAGCCATAAATAGAGCGGGGCACTTAATTGATTGAAATTTTGAAAATAAATGAAGCTATATAATGCAAAATCATATTGATTTGCTGGTTAGGTAGTTCAGTCGACTTCGACCATTGCGGACCACATGAGAATAGTCTCATGATACAACCTGTTTCAAAACACTCGGCACAATAATTTGGAAATAATGCCTGATCCTGAGCTCTCGTGGCCGCCTTGTATGCGGTCGGTGCTCCGTTAGCTGGCCCGTCTGTGCCCGCCCTTCCACCCGGTCGGTATGGTACCTAACTGGTGGCCGCTGCTGGGCGGTAAGCGGTAGATTAACGTCGACACCGTGCCTACATAACGGCCCTGTCGGATGATTCACGACCCGAACAGCCCCGCCGGGAGGGGGGCGGGCGGTCCGCCCTAACCTATTCCCGACCACCTGTGACTTCCGACCGGCAGAACCCGGGGATAACTGATAATATTTCTTGGTCATCATTCATCATAGCCGTCTCAACAAGCCATTAGTACCAGGGGCATTCAATTACTTTTCGGGTATCTAAAAGACCGCAAAGCTATGTTTCGGAAAGGTTAAGTTGGAGAGGTTTATACATCGAAGTTGATCAAAAACTAGGACTGAAGGCGACAAAAGTCGATCATGTTACGGTTCTACCGTAGCGGCTGAGCCTGACATCAATCAGTTGTCAACTGCAGAACGCAACTGGTGGGATGTCAGCGGCTGCGCGCAACTGGTGCGTCATGACCCGAGGCAGAATGCAACTGGTGGTTGTGAACTGAACGTCAGCGTTATTGGCTGCTACATTCAGGACCTCGCCATAAGTGGAACATAAAAGGAAATTGCTGACGGCGTAAAAGAGACGTTCCTACGGTGCTCGTCGGAAAACAACTGACTGCTAAAGTGCCGAGAAATATGCCGTGTCATATCTGTCAGAATAGCATAAGGCTCGGATGTCATATTGAGCTTGCTTTGATGTCATAGAGGCCCCACCGGCGCATAAAAACAGGTCGAACCAGCGCTGGCACTCACTCGTAGTATCGTACGAACCCGAGTGTTATCGCTGCCACTCAGCAACACACCGCCGCTCACAAGGCCGTCCCTGCCGTCCCTGACTTGCTTACAGACCGAGTTCTAAGTCGGTCCCCACGCCCGATAAGGCACGCATCACGGACACAAACACGTCATAGGTCCTGCTGTCTTTATATAGCTGAAAGCGTTTTCCTATCGACCAGTTACTCATACCGTACTGTGAAGTGTGAACCCATTCGCTCATCTTATCTTCCGCCCAACGTGTTTTATTATTATTTATTTTGCTGTTATAGCTGACCCATTGCTAGTCTTATTGATCCTGTATGACTCCTGTCGACCTATCTGACCCATTATTGATCTAACCTGCTGTTGACCCAACATTGCCCCACTGCCCACCAGGAGCTGCAGCGCCGGCTGGACCAGACGCTGGGGAAGCCGGGCAGCTACATCTCCAGCCTGGACAGGAACGGCGGCCTGAAGCCGATGACGATAGGCGCCAGGATCTACCGTGTCGAACAGCAGGTGAGGGGTCGAGAGGTGAACGCCGAACAGCAGGTGAGGGGTCGAGAGATGAACGTCGAGCAGCAGGTGAGGGGTCGAGAGATGAACGTCGAAGAGCAGGCGAAGGAAGCAGAGGAACGGACTGCGACCAACTGCTCTGCTCCTTCTAATCAATGTACATAAGGTGCCCTTAATTTTACTTGCGTTTTTTTTTTGGGCGCTCATGTGCACGGTTAAGACATCCAACAGTGTGTGGACCCGCCGGGACCGGGGCGTCATCAATCCTCCGGTCTCTGCGCCGTCGCCCGGTGCCGTCTGGCTCTGTCCACACGCGGCTGATCCACTGTCCACACGGATGATCCACGGTGTGAGTGGCGCCATGACGCTCTGTTTGTCCACTCCATCTGGTGGGCACACAACTGACAGAGCAGCGCCGTCCGCGGCTGCCGCCTGCCCGCGTCCCATGGCGCCGCCGGGTCGTGAGGGGGGAGGGTGCGAGACTGCGGATGGGAGTGGGCTCAAAAAGCACAGGTCTCGCATATCCCACACTGCATAATTGTCCGACCGGGATTGGGAGACGGGCGGCAAGCAGCTCAGGCAGACAGCCAAATACCGCTGTAGGTTTCTTTGTTATGATGTTGGCCAGAAAGCCAAGTATCTGATATAATAAGATATTTCCGATTAGATTCGCATTAATAATGCTAGACCTGTTCACTGTTCAGACTGTAGAAAGCTGGAAATGAGTCTCGTGTTAGATCCAATTCACAGTACTACCTTATGATCTGCGGTGCCCTCCGACCACCATATTTCGAACTCGGAGCATGACCTCCAAACACGCTACGTGGTGCGTCATCAATAGCGGAAGTTCGATAGAGCGCACGGCGCACATTGGTCGTCTCCTACTGTCCTCGGTGCGGCAGTAACAGCGATATTGATTGGGTAATAACGATGGCTGTCTGTTTGCCCTGGAACGGCCACGGTTCCTCGGCCACGACAGCGTACACATGTTGGCGAAATGCGGCCGCGAATCGAAAACTGGGACATGCCTGCCCACAACAGGCACGCAGCGGGGTTAGGGGAGACATATGTATAGGCGTGAGGTCCTGACAGAACCCCGCTTCACAAAGCGGTAAAACTTCGAGGCGGTGTGAGTCTTAGCATGGAGGCTGTACTTGCCAAATGCATGAAGCATTTCTTTGTCGACACGAGCGTGAGCACCTATAGCAACAGGTTCATTGGGTAGGCATATTTTCAGTTATCATATAGCCTCTCTGACAGGATTTATTGTTCGAAATAAGCAGTCGGGATGCTACTTCCACTCTGTGAGCGTTCCAAACAGGCTACAAATTCTGCATAAATTCTGAATTAATGAGGGACATCATTTCCATTCTTAATAGAAAGTGACAATCGATTTCTGTCTAATCCGGTCTCGCATGCTGGAGTCCTGATGCGGTCGCCAACGTTTTCAATCTACATACAAAGTGACCTGACGTTATAAAGTCAGATTGGGTGCGACGTGTAGCCCCGCTGTTGACGCTCTACCGTGTTATTCTGTGGCGTGGAGAGGAGGCGCGAAAGGGAGTCAGCTGGGCGTGCGATTGGTTCTCCATTCAGTCTCCCCCAAATGGTTTGGAGACGGCTGGTGACGGGCTTCGATCACCATTTCACCGGTTGATGGCGGCGTGTCATGTGTAAGCGATGGGAGACAGCTGATGAGTGGGACGACCGACTTCGATCCGCTGAAACTTGCTGATGCTGTATCCTGTCCGTCCGTCAACTCACGATGACGCTTCCGGTCTGTACGGCATGATGTCGTCCGTCACATATGACGTTCTCCCCGCCAGTTAGTTGCTGAATGCCGGTCCCTGTCTGTCCCTCAGCTGCTGACATGTCCTGTGTATCAGCTGCTGATAGCACTTTCTGTCTGTCCGCCCGCAGCTGCTGATGATGGACAAGAAGCTGGACCACCTGGTGTCAACACTAACAGCGGTGGCTCAGCGGCAGGCGGCTTCCTCTCCCAACAGTCGGCCGGCGGTGGAGGAGAGCGTCTGATGTCCGCCAGAACAGCGCCACGTGACCTAGTGTGACCTGACCCACCTGACCTGAGCGCCCTGACCTCGGCGCGACGCCACCCGACGACCGCACAGCCCACCGGCGCCGGACAGTTTTCCGGCCTCGATTGTTTCTGTTTGGGGTGTGTGATGTGCGCGCGGGGTCTGTTTATGGGTGTGCAATGTGACCCGGCCGCGTTCCTGGGGGCGATTTGTGACACCCGACGTCGATGTCGTCCGCTCGGCTGGCTAGGGACCGAGCATGGTACGTACAGCTTTAGTGTGAGTGAGTCCAGTGACCGGCCCCCGAGGCCCGGCGCTGGCGGTGCGAGAGTGAACGCGACGTTACCGAGCTGTGCATGGTAATGGTGCCACGGCCAGGGGAATTTACTAAGCCCAGCTCCTGTAAGTATATGCATATTGCATATCTGGCTTTGCAGACACACGCATATGATCTACAACTTTGTTCACATGCTTAGGTATATGAGTTTACCTATCAATTATTGCATTTAATACTAAAAGGTTAAGGCGTAAAAGCACATATTCCGATCTCCAATGCCTGTAAAAGCTTCCTAAGTTCCTGCAAAGAACAGACAATTTGTCCCTTATTAGCATTTACACTAATATTTAAAAAATGATAGCGTCGATTGATAGCAGATTTCAAAATGAAATGAATGCACAAAGGAAGCTTTATTGTTGCAAAATCTTAGCTATAGCTCAGCATTTGCGAAATATTGGGCATAGTTTTTTAACTTAGAATAAAGACAACGTATCTTTTACTTCAATATCCGAGTTTATCTTCATCTCAATGATTGAGCAGTACCGATGGTTGTTGCCAACACACCAGACTTGATCCATTTTCATTTAAAAAAACGCATGTTTCTTAACTCACCTGAAATCTGAAGCACTTACTTCCCATAAGTTCCATTTTCATGCAAATAGTTTGGGTGTGAAATCTCCTTCCCAGCTCCACCTAGCGTACTTTGACTGAAAAGGGTTTAGCAGAACTTAACCTACTTAAGAGCGAATGGAGCAATACATTTCCTACACGCATCCAGGGTGATCATTTAAATGCGTCAGTAATTGTCAGCATGTTTGCATAGTTTTCATTAGTCTTTTGGTAGATCAATAATAGGAAAACTTATTAGCCGAAGCTAAACCTTCGCTGAGTAGGTATAGTATCGATGATGATACCGGCTCCGTTTTGAGTGACACCAACCCGATGTTCATACTAAGTGGCTTCACTCGCCCTGTAGGGCCCGTTCCTAGCCCTACAATCCCGGCGGGCGGTGACGGCACTTGCCGTGAAACGAGGTGACATTCTATGTGCCCTCACCAGTCAGGTGAAACGTTCGGTGTGACGGTCCCACCTAAAGCGCTATGTGTCGGTCCCACCTAGAGCGCGGAGTGACGGTTTCACCTATAGCGCTGCGTGACGGTCCCACCTAGAGCGCTATATGACGGTCTCACCCAGGGTGCTATGTGACGGTGTCACTAGGATACACTGCGCCGCCCCCACCAAGCGTAGCGAGCGGTGTTCGAGAGAAGCACACTCGGACTGTAGGCAAACGGGCGTAGGTGGCGGAGGGGTCACTGCAGTGCTGAGAGTATGTCGGGCGCGAGTGATACGGCTCTGTCTCAGCCATCAGCGGTCTCGAGTCGAAGTACAAACCGGGCTAGGTGCGTTCTGAGCGTCTGTGAAAGAGATAGTCGCCGCGAGTGGTCAGTCAACTCCGGGCTATACTTAAAAGTGTACTACGATATTGCACGATGATATTCTAGATACCTAGTCCCGTGGCTGCTGTTTGTGATACCTTGTTTATGTGTTTTTGCACCCAAGCCTTAACCCACGTTGTTTCCTGTGTGTAAGTGAATGTTTCGCCGTGCGTGAGATATTTTAAGAGTGACGTATTGAATGCGATTTTTCATAATCGATAGACGAAGATCGGTGGAAGAAGATTTACTTCAGGATTACAAATGTTTTAGTGCTGATTAGAAACATGTGGATACGCTCGGGCAGGTGTTGTGCAGTGACTGTTTCCCGACTGGCTCCGAGGTGATACACGGCATTCTGTTCTGTTGTGAACATAGTTGTATAGACAGTTCTGCAAACTGTTGCTTCTCACTCGGCTAGCAATCTGAAAGTTTTAAGTCCCTTCGTCAAAAAGTCATCCTGTTCCGTACTGGAGGTGCTTTGATACTCGTCTTTTATTTAGACTCATCTGTTAGTTGTGTGGCTTTTTCTTTGGCAAACCGATAACGAATTATGTATTTTTAAGGTTGAGATTGTTTGAAACAAGTGGGAACTCCGATATTTCCTAATTTGTTGTTTCGAGTTCCTGAGCTTGAAGGCTTCTCAAACCACCTCCACTTCTGAGTGCCAGCCGCCCCGCTGTACAGCCGTCCCCTCTCACAATTGATGAGCTGGCTAGGAGTGCTGTGGGTGTCGGCAGAGCGAGCTTACCATGGCCACAACGAGCGGTCGGCCCTCCTACCTTGCCTCTCCTCCGGGCACTGCTCCTCCGGCGCGGCGGCCGGCGCACCCACTACCCGACCCCGCCGGGACACAGCGCGCGGGCGGCGGACAACCAGCAATACGGTTAGCGTTAGTGCCCTTCACTGCAGCCTTTCGCCGTATTTTTGCATCCTCGTTGTCTGTTGAGGGTGTCGGGTGTTGGCGGATGGTGTGCGCGGCTGTTTGTTACCGCCCCGCTGACTGGCGAGTGTGGTGACCGAGTCTGTGATGCCGCCGGGCTCCGTGGGCTCGGCAGTGCACCGGGCGCCCCTCCCCCTCCTCCCGTCCCCCGGGCCGTGACCGGTCCCGCTCACACGGCCCCTTCTCCCCTTCCTCCCTCCCTCCCTCCTACCGACCGGCTTCAGGACATGAACGCCTTCTGAATACATCTCTCTTCCACAAATAGCGAGTTTTGAGGCACGCCAGAGATGGGAACTGAGAAAAATAATTTGAGCAAAAATGATGCATGCTTTTCAAAACCAACGTATTTTGCACAAAAATAGCACTGAGTCTGGAAGCAAGAAAAGCAGCGTCAAATATGTCGAACTTATGTAACTATGCCTACACTCGTTCCCGCTTAGACTCTAAAAACGTCCATTATGGATACTAACTGAGAAGCGGATGCGGTGGTCCAACATGCATAGAGCTGGGGAGGAAGGAGGGTCGAACCACGCTTACATTATGTAAGGTTGTAGTAAATAGACAGCTGTTCGTCAAAAAGAAAACATCGAGCAAACCGATGCACATTAAACAGCGAAGTGCCTGCTGCATTCCAATATTCATTGGAACATTGCAGCAATGAACTACAGGATACCGGAAGCTTCAAAGGCTTACTCGACCAGTGGCGTAGCAAAGGGGGTCCCTATGGTCCCTAGGGACCCCCCTTCGCTACGCCACTGGTCGAGTGAGCCCTCCTTGGGCCTTCCATGGGCCCCTGTCCCCGAAGCTGACGGCAGGGCCCTTCGAAGTTCAAAAGTTCCGGGATGGACTGTTTCAAATCGGGGACCCCACACGACTGCAGTGCAAAAAATGTGAACACCAAAAGTTCAATAGCCATGCATTCCGCATTCATATACAGGCGAGCTATGATACCAACCAGAAGACATAGGTGTGGGTGTAGGGCTCTACGACAGTAGACATAGGTGTGGGTGTACGGCCAGGTGTGCAGGGCCATGGACCAAAAGCAGTCCCCCTGCTGGTAGTATGGAAAACCTATAGTCTCCCAGTTGGCCGCTAGGGCTACTTCGAGAGGTGCGGTCGCCTTAGTATTCCACGGGACCATCACGACTTTGCACCCGTCCGTCGCTTCCATCCTCAAGATGTTCAAATCCTTCTCCTCCACACAGCGACCTTCATTCCGGGCTGGACAGGCAGCTTTATCTCATGCGGGCTGCTCCCTTGGAGCGGCACCGCGGCTCCCAGGGGAGCACACCCGTAGCCGGGTGCGAATAGTGCTTGGGGGGCTGGTCGGTCTGTCCATTCGGATGGGCTCAGTCCCCCCCCCCCCGTGAATCTCTAGGGTACCTGCCCAGACCATTGTCTCTCCCAAATTCATATCATCCTTCCGGCTCTCAAATGGTTTTGTCAGACCGAAAGGGCCTAACCCAACAAAACAAACAAACACGACCTTGCGTTAGTGGGGCTCGGGATTCTCTCCAGACACTAGCGATGCCCGAATCTGATTACCCAAGTTCCGCACTGACACGCACCAAAGGGTGCTTGCTTCCTGCGAGTCAATAAATCCTGGCGTGGGACCACCAAAATATGCAAAAAGCGGCTTACAAATGTTTCACAAAGAACCAGAGCTGTGGTCCAAAGTCCAAACCAGTCCCAAAGAAGGTTATAACGTCCTCTCTCTGCCCTTAAACCATCCCATGCATCATTGGTCACACTACTCTCGCCAGAGAACCGGGAACTGATAGAAAATACACATTCATATGTGATATAGGTATAAGCAAATACCTTCTACGCAGTAATACCTACCTATACGTGCATGATAAAACAAAAATTTACACAGGCGGATCTTGGGAAAATTACACTGAAAACAAGTTGAAAGAACGTTATGCAAAAGCATCTTAAAATATTCCACACTTAGGTTTTTTGGGTATTAGGGTAAACTGACTTAGAGGCGAAGCAGAACGTCTGGTTCATGAAGAACACACACAGTGTTTCACATAGACCGAAGACACGTGCTGCTTCTTCGCGTGCAGTCTTAGTGGCCCCAGGGGGCTTCAACTCGACCAACACCGGTTCTTCTTCGTTCTCCCTAGTCACGTGATATTACGTCACACCAAGCGCGCGAAAGATAAACCCTTTGGAGGTTTTGCACGAACTAGCATCGGGTTTAAGAAGAAGGGGTTGTGGTTTAATCAGTGTAATGGCTTTCATCAAGACCACGCCCGCGGTACCACGTTCTAGCGTCCACCGGAAGCGATCGCCATTTTTCGATCGCGTTGGATCACGCTTTGTGCAGTGACGAGCGGCTGGTGCAAGGTTGGGTGAATGGCAAGTAATCGAATATTGAAGAACTGAAATAAGGTTAATTTTTGGCTTGTCAAGTGTTGTGTATTATCTATATTACTTGTGATTGACAATAATAAGCAATATCACAACGCTCTTCAAATGCATGGATGAATGCATTGGATGAAGACAATTCATATGCAAGACCAATCAATGCAGTAAGTATTTATATGTTGTATAAATGCCCCATAGCTTAAATTATGCATGTGGTATTTAGACAAATCTTCCAAATGAAGATAATTCAGGAATAGAATCACCTTGCCATTTTGGGGTCCATTGATTTAGGCATAAATTTGGCTGATTTTGATAAACATATGTTCTTGCTGATTAGTGCAATATTTTATCTAGCTGCACTTTATATGTCAAGTGCATTATTTTATTTTCGGAGTAGGCTCATGGTTTCTGAAGTCAATCTAAGTTTCTTCACTTCCTGTCTGTTGAATAACGCATCCGCCCGACTCTTCATTCCAGGGGACGAGGCCATCTCCGCTCTAATTGAGGCCCTGGAGTCTGAGGAGAGCGTCCTGGCGCGCGGAGACGTCGACATCGTCGAAAACGCTGGCTTGAAGCTGGTGGTGGAAGGAGAAACTGTATGTGATTTGGGAGAATGCGATATCGCCACCCGGCTGCTGACATGGGCGATAGCGCTATACATACTGTGTTTGGGAAAAGATCCACTTGCTAAAGCTAAAAATGTGTTCATATTTGGCTCTGGACTCTGGAGTTCTTTGGCTTGGATGTGTAAGGCAAGTGACACGGCCGAATGGAAAGCGTTCCTGCAGGCTGATTGCGGGCTGATCGCATGGGCTGAATGCGGGCTGGTTGCGGGCTGATCGCATGGGCTGGTTGCGGGCTGGTTGTTCCTGACTGGAGACTTGCAGGCTGATTGCTCAGAGTAAAGAGGAAGGTAATACATTTTAAGGTGTATCAAGTACTGTGTTTGCGCAGCAGATGTGACGGCGCAGGTCGATAGCCATGCATGGGAGGTTCAATAGACGAATGAACGGGGATTTTGCGGTATTGCAATAGAACTGAAAGGGTTCTACAACCGATATTCAGAACACAGGGTGGTTTCCCTATAAACCTCAGGGACTTCTTCACAGATCCTTTGGGGTTCTTATCTAGGTGCTAAGAACGCTCTTATTATAAACCCTAAACCTCATAAGAGTCTTTGGAAGAATCGTGTGGATTCTTTTGATGAGAATGCAAAGCCGTCTACGTGAAGAGCCATGGGGGTTCTGAAAAACGGTGGCATAACATTTTACCCCACAGGGGTCTAAATACCCCTGTACGTTCTAAACGTTCTTCCAAAGTGTTTTCAGTGTAGGGACAAAATCCTGAGAACAGAACCCAAAGCCTGGTTGCATCCGCCAGCGAAAATGAGAAATTACATCATCACTGCTGCTCTGAAAGCGAACTATGTACTCTTTTAGCATTGAATATAGGTATCATAACCCCATGAAATAGCATGTCTATTCAGTTGCTTTATTCGGCTGCAAAGGCACCACACATACCAAAGGTATGCTCGATAAGTACCAGGGGGCAGAAGGTGGGCTACGATGGCAAAATTGGCTCATTTATTGGCATACATTTGGTATTGAACAACAAACGCACACAGTCCAGTTTCCATGGAAACCAGGGCGCGTGTACAGGCACGCGAGCTTCCGATTGTGAGCGGGTCGATGACGTTATGACGTGTGAGTGACGTCACCCTGTCTGGCCAGTAAACAGATAGTCAAAGGTCCCTCAGCACCGGCGAGCCTCGTCGACAGAACCATCGACTGGCCCGGCGACAGGTGGCTACGACACACCGACGACAAAGTCGCCCACACAGAACACTCGGCCTATCGGCTGCAGCGAACGAGCATACATATTTCACGAGGTGTGACTACTCGAATCCCGGTACTATCGAATGTTGTTAGGAACGGGACCAGGAGACTGATGACGCAGTGTATTGCGTTACCAGGAATCATCCTTCGTTTACGCATGGGGAAAATTTGTGGAGTGTATTTGCGGTAGCCCGTTGTCACGCTCTTGATGGATTTAAAGAAGCCGTGAAGACGATAGACTCCGTTTTTGCTTGGCGAGCTCACCCCTCCTCCCCTATTAGATATCCCTCGCCACGTTGGGGGGGGGGCAATTTGCCCCCTCCCCCCTGTGGTTTTTCCTGAATAGCAAGAAAACGGGGGCGCGCAGCGCCGCCAAATTTTTAAGTACCTTATCGGGCATCAATTTGACACCTTCACACAAAATTTCAAGTCTTAGACTCACACACGTCTTTACTGCTGCAATGAGGGTGTTCTGTGGCAATCTGTGAAACCATGATCTCATGGTTCCATTTCGATTAGTGCCATTGCAGGTATCATATAATTAGATTGTGTGGCACAAAATGGAAGTGTGTGTCCTCGACTTTAAAAATTTCCCGATACCTACTGCTCTCATTTACCAATAATAGGAATTGATACTCGCTTTCAAACAGGTCTATCCAGAGCCTATTTTAAGGGAATTTGACTGGGGGGGGCAACCTGGAAAATTGTCTTTAATAATCCATTAACCCTCGCCCGTATTGGTGTTTTCCAGCTGCGAACGTATAGGTATGGGGGGTCCGTTGGACCCTCCCCCTTGCCGTTTCACCCCTGATCGAGCCAGAGCTTCGCGGAAAAAAAACGACCGTGCTGCCCGTGATGACAGTAAGCCGATGATACCCAATTTTAAGGTCCTAGGTCATCGGTTGACCTTCCAGGTCAGGTCAATGACCCAAACGTCGGGAAAATCGTAACCTGTTAGAGCGTCGTAAAGGGTGGGTGCTATGTTTTTTTTTCGGGGAGCTGATCACGAATATCATGTTAGTACTTATACTCTGTTCCGTTTCAAGTTTGCAGCCG